ATAAATTATAGAGAAATCAGGAAAGCAAAATGAAACAATTGAGCGTCACGGAGAGCTCTCAGGAACTGTCAATTTGGGCGAGCCTCAAAATGCAGTTTCCGTGTGGCTCTATCCAAGAGCCGTGAACGTGAAATTGCCGCGCTTGCTTTTCGCGGTTGTTGGGCAAGAAATGCATCCAATTTTCACTTGGAGTCTGGCCAGGAGCTCCTGAAACCAACAAGATGTTTAACCTTAAATAGGAAATGCTAGACAGGTTTAAACTTTACAAAAATAAATATTCTCTAATAGTGTCTAGGATAATAAAGTTTGTCTCTTCTCTTTCGCTGTTTTTGCTGGCTGAAATTCACTCCATTTGTGGCTTGTAGATTTATTACACAATTCGGTTTACAAGTCTGCTTAAATTTCATTACACAAACCCAAAACGAGAGGGAAGAACTGGGCCAAGGGAAAAGAGGTTTGCGGGAGTGAGCCGCAGCAATGGATTGAAAATGAATGCCAAAACCTTGATATGAATTAATATTTGAGCAGGGCTGCCAAGTGGAGCAGACATCTAAAGGGACTGGAGGGGCAAAAGGACATGGAATGGACATTGGTTAAATGGGTCAATTCGGAGCGATTGATTGGCACGTTGGCTCTGTGCAAATATTAAACTTTTTCCTTAGCGGGAAAATGTATTTAAGAAACTTTTCCATACCTATTTGCCCATTCGTGTTGGCGCAATTGTGATATCTTCATCATTCACCTCGAATCACTTTTAAAGTGTAATAATATTCCGAAAGAAATTGTTCAGCCAAGGCGGTGGCAAAGGTTAAGACAACTGGAAATCAGCAATCCACAAAGGCAACAAACAATAAACTGAGTGGGGGGAGGGGAGGGGAAAAGCCCAAAACGCCAGCGAAAACACGAAGCATGAAAAATCAAAACAAATAAGCAAACAGGCAGGCAAACAAAGTGCCAAGCAAATTAAATAAAATCCGCACAAACAAAGAACTGTGGACTGGCCCCGAAAAGAGGAAGCGGCAAGGAGATACGTACAAGGATACACATGCACAAGGATACTGGCGCAGGCCACTTAGATGCGGTTGACACAGCCACAGGATGCGAGAGAGTGTGTGTGTGTGTCTCTCTGTTTTTGTTTGTGATAAAAATGAAGCAATTGAAAGAGCCGCGACAAATGCCAACAACAATGGGTGAAAGCAACCGACGAGGGGGACGGGGCGAAATGAGACCAGAATAGAGAGCGGGAAAATTAATTAGACTTCCTCTTGGCTTCAACTCTTGTGGGCCCCTTTCATTCAATTAAAGTGTGCAAACTAATAATAGAAACAGTCAGTTGGCTCAGTCCCATATTTTCTTTGCAGAAAGGTTTAAGCCCCAAGTTCACTTCAAATCAGTTTTCGTTTAAATATATTAAAGATGAATTTTGAATGGCAACAAAGAACTCCATTTACAAATAAAATTAATAATTATATATTTGTTATAATACATTAACTTTACTCCCCCGATAAATATAAATCAAAAGTGCGTCCAACACTACGTATACGTAATTAAAGACGACTGACTTTTTTCTTCTTCCTGAGTAACCAATGATTATAATTCATGATGAAATTTTTCTCTGCAACAAGATCCCTGCCCCCTGGCCATTTGGGCGGGGCTGTTGTGGAAATTCAGGATATGCATGTCCTGCAGCGCTACCAGCCTGGGCCGTCTGCACTGCGCTGCATGCCAGGTGCGAATACTGGCAATATCGGCAGGATTCATTCATGGATACCAACCGATGGCAAACGGCAGAGAAAAAAAGGTGAACGGGAAAAGCCGAGCAGGACTCCGACCTGCTCCGTGCTGTGTCCTTCGTTCACTTTGTCGTCGGGTGCGGGAGCCCGACGAGGTTTGGGAGCCACTGGAAGGACCCACAGGAATAGCTGCAATGGAAGGCTCCAAAGAGCTTAAAGCCCAGCAAAGTGAGAGCAAAGCGAGAGGTCCTTAAGAGACGGCGGCCCACAAGTGTCCAGGACCAAAGAGAGCTCAATTTTTGCAGCTTCCTTCTCCAGCTGTCTCTCTGCGGGCGCCCTGTAGTTTTGAGTTTGTGAAAGCCATTTTTCATTCATACGAACTTACTTTAAATTAATTTTTTTGTGGGGTCATAAATCATTTTTGGCTCTGGACCTACGCATGCTGCTTTTGTGTATGTAAGCTCGTCGTTATGTGTGTCGTGTGTCCGTGTATCCTTCCGACCAAGTGAGGGTGTAAGCTTTTGTATCGTGAATTTGACCCTTTATGTATGAATGAATGTTTTCCAAAATATCTTCCAATCGAATTGGTCTTTGATACATTGAAGTTTATTCAGTTTTCTTTTAAAATAATAAAGTAATTCGTAATTTGTAAAGATATTTAACAACATCCTTTAGGAAATATTTTTAGGGTTTAAAGTAGGAAGAGGTTTTATTTGAAGTAAATATACAATACTTTCTTTAATTGATTACAAATTATTTATATTAATTATTTTTATTAATGTGATACCATTATATTTATCACACTTTCCATCACTAACAAGAGCCACAAATGTTGACAGGAACTTATAATCAATTTTAAAAGTCCATACACATTATGTATTAACTTTAAAATTAATATAAGTATGAATATATACACTTAACTTATGGCAATCAGTGGAATAAATTCCAAGTCTGATCATGCTCAGGGGTCCATGCTACTACGACAGGACCTCTCTGACTGTACACCCTGTATTTCCGGCACTGTCAAAGCTTCGGAAAGAGAAGCTGCGCACATTTTGACGCTCTCTTACAGCCTCCGAGTTCAAGTCCGAGTCCGTGGCCGAGGCGAGCTTTCCGGGAAGGACTTTAAAGCTGCCTCCTAAGCCACACAGACAGACACACGTGCCACACGGCCTTCCAGGCGCTTTGGAGTCGCGGCGAGCGCGAGTCCTGACGACTGGCAAGGACTCGTGGCCCATCTTCCAGCCTGGGGGCTGTGGCATCGCAGGATGTCGGATGTCGTGTCTGCACAAGGATGTGTCGTGGGATGCTCGGGTGCGCTCGGGTACGCTCGTGCCTCGGCTCCTCCAGCGGACTCTGCAGTCACTTCCAGCGGCGCCTGGCTGCCAATGCTGCACAGGCATCGGGCTCAGTTGGTGTTCCGGTTTCGGGTTGTGCTGTCAGCTGCCTTTTGCCTCCAAGCACGGCCGAGAGATTGAGCGACTGAACTGAGCGATTGAACGATTGAGAGTGTGCCAAGCAGCAGAGCCGGAGAGTCGCGTCGCGTTGCTTGCGTTGCGTTGCGTTGTGTTGCGTTGCCGTTGCCCGTGGTCTGCGTCCGCATCCGCATCCTCCGAATCCTTGCCCGCCTTTGCCATCGCCTTCGCCTTCGCCTCCGTCTCCGCCACCGTGTCCGTGTCCGTGTGCTCCTCTCCTCTCCTCGCCTCGCTCCGTTTTGTGTGCGTGTGTGTGCCTGTTGTCTGTCGCTAACGGTGCGCGCGCGTATAGCTGTGTGAGTGTGCGAGTCAGTGCGTGGCCATGCCTGTGTGTGTGCCCAACAATTCTACATATACGTATATGTATATATACTAATACTAGTGTGCCCACACTCACACACACACACGCGTGTACGCAAAAAAAGACTGCAAATAAAAAATATAAATATGTACAACAATTCCAGCAGGTAAACTCATTGAACAAATCGAAAAAATCGGTAAAAATCAAGGGTGCCACAGAAATTGCTGTTTAAAATGTGCCCAAAAGTATGCAGTGATCCGCAAAAGTATTGCTAATTTGCTATTTTCATTGAGTGTAGCATACTTCTAGGCACCATATGAAACAAACTCCTTGTGGCACCCGTGAATATACATATATATTAAATTCAGATATATCTGTGTGTGGAAATTAATATTCCTATTGCTATTCCTAAGAAGATGTTAAGAAAGAAAAGAAACGTTTTGCCTTCTCCCTCTGGCCCAGGGACTCGTGTGTGCGTGTGCTTTTCCGTATGTGTGTGTGTGTGTACTTGTGCCTGTGAAAATTCCATCAGCATCATCATCATCATCGTTGGTTTTATCGTTACCATTTTTGCTCGTCCTTGCCTTATTGCTGTACACATATTTTCGCACATCCTTCCTGCATCTATTCCACACAGCTCTTCCACGGATATTTTGTTTGGATTTTTATTATTTTCGAATTCATTCCCTGGCAAATTGCTAATTGACCATCAAAGCAATCAAGATTCAAAATAGAAAGTATCCTTTTGATACATGTCAAGTGCAACTCTCTCTCTCTCTCATGTCCGCTCTCTGTCTGTGTGTGTGTGTGTACTCGTGTGTGTGTGTGTCTGTATAACAGGTGCCAAAAAATAAATGGCAATGGTTACTTTTATGTTCACATTGTGTGGGCGACTTTGGCAAAAAGGATATTCAGTGACATTGTCAACAAGTGAGAAATTCACAATGATTGCATATTGAATAATTTGTGATTAATTCAAATGTTTTATTATTTTCGCCTTTTGCAGCATCGACTCGCATGACACAAAAACAATGGATGTAAAAACTAAAACCAAATAAACCACTAAAAGTTTATATACAAAATTTAATGCTAAGCAATATCTAATTTTATTGAGTGAGAATCGGAAGCATAAAGCATAAAACTAAATTAGAAGTTCTTAATGTTCGGGAAACAACAAGCGCCAAGTAAAACTAAAATAATAATAAATAAAATCAATACATGAAATCGTGAAACTTTTAATAAAATCTAACTGTATAGATAACTTTTCAAAGCGAAATCCATTACCAAAACAATTTTGTAATTAAAACGAGCAATTGCTTACGAGAATAAAATTAACCATCAATTCCTTTTAATAATGTTGGAAAATGAAAACAAGGAGAATACTAATATAATACTAATAGCTACATAATAACATATAAAAATATACCATAATGCAAAAAAAAACCAGCGATGGCAAAACATTTTTAATATCTTTAACAAAAAAATAAACCAATAAAGAAGCTCAACGTGGAAAAGTCTCCTCAATTGGAAACTTATCTCGCCAAACTATTTTGAAATGCAGTAAAAAAAGAACTTCAAGTTCTGAACGAGAAACTGGAATACGCACAAGATTTATAAATATTATTAATAACAATAAGTTATAACTTAAGAACCAGCTAACGAAACCACAGTTCAATTGCAACCCCGTTAGGATCGGATATTCCATAAAAACACTTTGGATAAGCTGAAATTAAATGTTTCAAGTCGACTCGATACATTCATACGCATATATCAATATTCGCATCTAACTAAATAATAATCATTACCGAACTTAAATTAATTGCATTGACTTCACTACTTATCAGACAACACAAATTTTTGGAGACCGATTTGATAAAGAATTTGATATAATTATAATACTACGGAACAAGCCGAAAACAAGTTCAACACGCAATACAATAAATTAAATATTTATAAACTAAAACGAACGCTCAACCAGATCATCTGAACCCTAATATACTGATCAAATAGTCTTTTTGATTCTGAACCAATTGGGAAGGAATTCGAAGGTGAGTACGAAATTCAGAAGGATTTATCTGAATAAAGTCAAATAAATATATCATAACAATAAGAGTATATTTTAGAAATCTGTAAAAGAGTTTAAAGATATTCATAAGCTATTCTTGGGAGTATAGTTTGAGTATTAGTCTGACATCTCGTTTTAATTTTATAAATTGATTAATGGTCTTGAGAAATCAATAGAACTCGTTCTAAAATTATGGAATATAAGTGTTTAGGTACCAAACACAAGTCAAATTTATTTATTTTAAATTTTTAATACTTTTTATCATAATTTGTGACACATTTTAAAGGCGTCTAAACACCCTAGTGGGTTCTGTAGCTCTTCAGATATTCATATTCCGAATATGGATGTGCTTAATAAAATAAATTTAATATAATTATAATAAAATGAAAGAAAACAAGTGTTTCATAATAAAGCAACAAATTTGAAGCAGTGAAACTGATAGGTCTACGGGTTTTATATTATATTTTATATTTGTTCTTTTCACTGTTTTAAAACATATTCCTGTTGATATACGCCCTTAAAACTTGCAATAATCACAGAAAATGTGAAGGAACCCTCGCACAACAAGGTTCCATAACCGCAGGTATTATTTTCGTTTTTCCCTCAACCCACGAGGCTTCAGTGGACGTCCCTGTGAACATTGCTGGACTTGATTTCCTTTTTTTGTTTTATTTCTCGGGCAAGCATTTTAAAATTGTTTCATTGACCTTTCGACGACCACACCGACACATTCAAATACACAGCTGGCGAGTGAGTGAGTGGGTGGCAGGTGGGTGGGATGAGGTGGACTGGTGGGTGGTGGGTGGTGGGTGGTCTGCCGGGAGGTTGGGGGCAAAAGTAATGCCCAAAAGCAAACAAGGCAGCACCCACTCGGAGGACAATAAAGGCAGCGCACAATTGCCAAATAAATAACTTGACGCTCGCTCTGTCGTCCTTATACATATATTTGCTCCAGTGCCGCGGCTACGGTTTCAGGCTTGGACTTGATTTTCATTTTCATTTTCATTTTCATTTTTGGGAAAACACTCACACACACACACACTCGGCCGCAGTAAAGTCTGTTGCATAGAGAAAGGACTGCGGCATCCTGTTTTGTTTTCATCATTTTGCACTCGCTGCTCATTTGGCCCGGGCTCTTTTTCATTAATAATATGACACAGTTCACGCTGCATTGTCCTGAGCCCGAGAGCTCCTTCGGCCCGCCACCTCCGTACGCTCCTTACGCTCATTATGCCCATTCGAGGCTTTGTCTTCCGTGACACAGCTCAGACCAAGAAGGAGCTCCCACCCTGAGCATCCTCAGCCATTTCTTTTCATCATTCATTCATGCAGACTTCAGCACAGACACACACACACACTCCGTGCTCATCAGCAAATACAAACGCAAACATCAAGCCAGCGAGGTGGCTAAAACAAGTGCAGCTGAGAGTGTGGTGTATCAAAAGGATATATCCTCTAAGAAAGACTAAAGACGGTTTCTGTTGATTTTAAACTGAAACATGGGATACTAGTTTTAATATCAACTTAAAGCATCAAACTGTAACTCGAATTATAAACTCCCTTTTAAGTCAGTTGTGTTTAGAACAATCAACTGACATAGGCATCCTGCAGGACCACGAATAGAGAGAGAGTATCGCCGAAAGTAATTCACTTCGCGGCGGTCTCATTGTTGCCTTCGCTTTGGCCGGCGATGTCCTTAATTATGTCCCAGCAGCCATGACTGACTGCCACACTGCCACACTGCCACAGCTCAAAGGACACGCACACTGGCGAACAGCCTCCCGGCCTCCGCCCACCCATCCGCCGCCCACTCACCCAGTGGCATAGGCGTTGCCAGGATCTCGGCAACTGTTACGCGGCGCTCGTGTATGATGACGATGTGTCATGTTGGACTCCGAGTCTCGGGTTTCAGAGTCCTTGTTGCGCTTGTTTTTATCGCCCTTGTTTGGCCCGTTGTTGATGAGTGTCCTGGCTGCCGTTGCCGTTGCCGTTGCTGTTTGTTGCTGGCCATTTTTGGAGTACGCTCTTCTAGTGGGTGTCATGTCCGCTTAGTTGTTGCCGTTGCCAGAGCCTCAGCCTGTGCCTGTGCCTTTTGCCTCTGCAGTTCGCCGACGTACTTTGAGGCGACGCCGCTTTGCCTACTGCTTATTTATGTATGAAGGACCTTAAACTTTGCAGCAGGATGAAAATGGCCGCAGCCGAGAACTGAGGAGCCCCTGAACCAAATTATATACGTACTACAGTGGCATATATATGTGTGTGTGTATCTACAGCAAATAGCGTCGCTGCTTTTTAATCACAGCCGGCGACGCAGTTTTTTAGCTTTCAGTTTCACTTTTCCATTTGCAAAGTTTCTCACGTGTGTCCCCCGTCCTGCCCCGTCCTCCTCCTTGGTGTCCTTTTTTTATTTATTTTGTTGCTTTTTTTATTTTTGTTCTTAAGGTTTTTATTTTGTTGTAGTTGAGACAACTGGCAGCTGGCAGTCTAAAGCACAAAAGCTGAAACACAATGCTTAATTTTAGTTGGACGTTTCCCCTTAGATGGCTGCAGCTTGTTCTATTAACCTTCGCGTCGCGAATGAAAAAGAGATTTAAGGTTAACTATTTTCAGTTTCAGTTTCAGTTTCTGCTTTTTTTCGTCGTTGGCGTCTTAATTTGCTTGAAACTAGGCCAGGCCTTGAGGTGGTAATAGATATACATTGAAACAAATACTTAAGAACTTGAAATCTTTTTTTTTCCACCTAATGTTTGATAAATTATAGGTTTTTTTTAAGAATTTCTTATATTATATCCTGATACATGAGAACTTCTATGCAACAGCCTTAAAGTCAAGCACATTTGATTATAGCTTACTTCTTTGATTTTTTCAATGCTTTTTATAGTGAGTTTTTCTTTCTATTTATTTTTGTATTATTTTAAAATATTATTTAATAATTTCAATGGAAAAAAAGCTATACTATTTTTATTTATAACATTTAAAATGTCAATGATTAAGTCTTACCAACTTAATAGATACAATCGGCGATATAGACTTCATATAATATAAGAGTTACTTGCACAGAAAATACCTTCTTTTGCTTCCATAATGTAAGGAATTTTAGTGCTTATTTGAGGATTTGTCTGCTAATCTATAATTAAAATTATTATCGTATCATTTGGGAGCAGCAAAGTTTCGTGCGACCAAAACTTTGACTCCTCTGGAGAGTCGCAGGAGGAGGAGGAGATGGACACTCTCAGGTGAGGAGAGAGGCTTAGCCATGAAATACCTTAACATGCTGCCAGTTAAACTGTCTGGGGCAGGGGCAGGAGGCAGAGTGCAGAGGAGAGTCCCGGTCCCATCAAGCCACCTTGGCTTAACCCGGACCCAAGCTGATTCCAGAGGCAGCTACGTGCCTGTGCATTTGAGCAGCAGATGTCACATGGGCAGGGGCCAAAGTTTTTTGGGGCCGCCGGCAGCAACTTAGATAAGTTAACAGTTGAACGAGAAAAGGGGAGCTTCAGGACGAAACAGGATGGGGGTTGGGGGCCAGGACTCGCTTGAATGCCTTGGCGGAGGTTTACCTACGTGAGATAATGCAAATTTATGGCCGGCAATTAGCGAGTCGCGAATCGCAGCCGAAGTCGGGGCAATAACTCAGGGCCCAGAACTTTGACTAGTCCCTGAGCCTAATTGCAGTTGCCGACGTGAGAAATCTCGGCCAGAAGCGAAAGGGGCTAGAACCACCTTGCAGACAATACCAACAACCGAAATCCAGTTGGCTAAACCCATCCAACCATTAATTGTCTTATGCGGTGCTTCCCATATGTATTGTTAGCAACTGTTACACCTTAAGAAAAAGGATACTACAGATATATAAAGTCTTAAATCGGGAGATTGAAAAAGGATATATTTTTGTTGCTTTAAATATTGCACCTTGACACGAAAAGATAATAATATAATCTGATTTACGTAAAACCTTAAAAAGGTGTTTTTTTACGAGTGTATAGATACATATTTACGCCGCCGGCAGATACAGATACGAGCCGATACACAGATACGGGCCGACTGCCAGTGACACATGCCGGCGACGACAAGTTTGCCGTTTATCTGTTATCCAACAGTTACACTTTACACACACCCAGGACATTCAGCACACAATCGCAAGGACCCGCTCCGCCAAGTCGTGCCGTGCCTTGCCGTGCCGTATCTGTATCTGTATCTGTGAGATACACACAGGCAAAGCCAGGCATCAGTTGCAATCTGACTTCAATTCAATTATTTTAGATTAGAATGTGACTGTGTCACACACACTTTTGTCTCTATGTCAGCTGTCATTCATCCGTTCATATGTTCCATAAAGGCGGCCCTGCCGTCCCAGGAAGGGACGCCAGGGAGGGGCATCCTGCGGCCCAGGATACGTGCCCTATACGTCGCCTGTTCCTGCTCCTGCATTGACAGTTGCGTTGCCCACATACATACGAGCGGGTGCTCCTTTTTGGGTTCGCTGGGAATGTGAATGTGAGTGCGAATGTGAATGTGAGTGTCAATGTGCCCAACAAAACGGCATCCCAGAGATCCCGACTTGAAGCGAGCGTGACAAAAGTAACAAATGTGTAACTGTTCCAGCTCCGATGACGTCAGGGCATCCTGCGGGCTAGAATATATTCAAGTGGCTGAAACATTTATGTGTTTCATCCTACTAAATTGAATTGCGCCTACAAAGGCACAGACAGTCTGCTAATAAATGACCATATTTGGGGATTTGTGTTTCAATGAAGTTAATGGTTTAACGGAACAAGAAGGCAATCCAAATTAAGAACTTTACTTTTTAAAGTAGAAAATACTTCCAACGCAATATTAAAATTAGTTTGAAGTATTTGTTAAATTAAATATAGATATATTAAATGAGTTTAGATAGTTTAGATACAGATATGTAATATTTCACTTATATATATTTTATATACAAATTTATAATGGATGAATCATTCGTACAAGTATTTAATACGCATAAATGCTTATAATATTCCGAAATGTAGAAACCGTAGAAATTAAAGAAACTAATAAATTTGTCAGATATATCGAGATCAAAAAAGTGTCTAAGGTCAAGACGACCTGCCTCGCAGAGATCTAGGTTTTTACTTTCGGTAAGAATAAATTTAAGATTTGAAAAACAGGCAGGTAAAATTCCAAATGAGCAGGTAGCAAAGGCAAAACTCAGTTAAGAAAGTAAAAATATTTGAGGACCAACCTTAAAGATAACTAGTATTTAGTGGGAAATATATTTCCAATCATACGAACCGATAGATAGAGTTTACGAACTGATATATTAAACATAATTCGTTATTAGCATTAAATAAACATTATGAAGCAAAAATGCATACACTGCATGGCATTTGGTTCCGCTTTTTGTGAGTCATATCGAGACCGATTCTCAATGGAAAACAATTGCATCTTTATGTTGTTTCCGACCTTATCAGTGTCTTTATGCGGGCAACTTATAAAAGCGGGTATTTAGATAGTGGCATAGAGGGCACTGCGATAAACCGAGGGACCAAGCCGACATTGTCTCCTCAATCCGAGGGTGACCTTTGGCAGCAACACAGATATGGTAAAACTCTGAGATAAAATCACTGAGAAAATGCTGAGGTATTAAAGAACATTTAGGTTAAATTATATTTAATCCGTTTGGAATATATAAGTTATGATAACATGCAACACAAAGTTGACTTATACTATGACTTCAGTCCCATAAATAGCCTGCATTTTCTCTCAGTGTACCGTGTAGCAGTGTTTATCTAGCGGATGTTGTTGTGACCTATCTGCCGCCTGCCTGCCTGCCTGCCTGCACTCTCCCCTCGAATCCTCCTCGGGTAGCTCTCAAGCCAGCTCTCTTTGCTGCCTGCATTCAGTCCTGTGTCGACTTTGCTTGCGTTCACACAAGTCAAGATGAAAATAATTTGGACCCTTTTTCTCCTGCTGAGTCCAGTCCTGGCGGCTGGCCTGCGGGATAATTACTGTGAAAGGAACGAGACCGTACGCACCACTGTGCCCGTGACCAAGCAGCGGACCATTGTGAAGCCCCAATCCAAGTGGAGGATCTGGAAGAAGGCTGAGAAAACCACGGAGATCTACGATTCGGAGGAGGTTCAGGTCACCCACCGGCTGGTCAGGGAATGCTGCCCCGGCTATCAACAGGTGGAGTCTGGCCTTTGTGAGCCAATCTGCAGTCGTGCCTGCCCCGCCCATGCCAGCTGTGCCGCTCCCGATCGCTGCGAGTGCATCAATGGCTACGTCTCGGCCAGAAATCACCAGGACGGAGGACACTACTGTGAGCCCATCTGTCAGGATCCCTGTCACCCGGGTGCCCAGTGCGTGGCCCCCAACACCTGTGCCTGCCGGGAAGGTTACACCCAGCTTCAACCAACCGGGGATGGGGTGAGCGGCGACTGTGTGCCCACCTGCCAGGTGGGAGGAGGTTGTGCGAACGGCAAGTGCATCGGCGTGGAGCGCTGCTCATGCAACGCAGGATATCGCTGGGATAAAACAGAGGAGCGTTGTGCAGAGATAAGTGGGGAATCCCTCTCGGAAGAGGACTCGGAGGAGAGCACAGAGGTCCCGAGCACCAGTTCCACGGCAGCTTTCACTGCCCAAGAGTGCCCCGAAGGTTTCGTCCTGTTCCAGGGCGACTGTCGGGAGAAGCAGTTCGAGAGCAATGAGGGGTCCTGCACGAAGACCGGCTGCGGTCCACATCAGATCTGCTTGGAGTCCGGCATTTGCAACTGCTCCAGAGGATATGTTCCGGACGAGACCAGCGTGGAGGGTGGATATCTCAGCTGCCAGCGCACCTTGTTCGACCAAATACTGGGCTTGAACCAGGCCACCGATGACGAGGACGAGCTGAATCCTTGGACCATTCCCATCATCGGAGTGGCCAGTGGTTCCCTCTTTGTGCTTCTGATAGTGGGCTTCATCGGCGGAAAGCGGTACCGACGGGAACGGACAGCGGCTGCCAACAAAGAGATGGAGTGCCAGTATTCCCAGAAAACCGTCGATGTGGACGAGTGGGTGCCATAAGGTGGCTCCCAGGAGGTGGTTCCCTCTACCTATGGGCTGTGTTAGATCATCTTGGATTTTTAGTCTTAAGGTCTATGTATGTTTGAGTTTGAATAAATAATATAAACTTAAAAGGTGTCTTCTTAATATATTTCGGAAATCTATTTTTGTATTATATCGTAACATTCATCTGTAAGGTTAATATTATACTAAATTCGCTGAGAAATTTTAACAGTTTATGACACATTTCACTCCATTAGGTCGCGCTTTTGGCTTGGCGGTCCCTCAGCAGTAATATGCACTCATACCCCGATTACTCTCATTCATATATAATGAAAAATTCATTAAGTATCATTCGGGCGGGAAACTCGGAGCCACAGAAAATGAGATAAATTTGAAATGCTTATGAAATGCCACACAATATAAGGTTTTATAAAGTATAAAGAGGAAAGTGAAACTTAAATGTTAATAATAATCATAAGTATATAATAACCTCTGCAACATATGATTCTATCTGGGTCTTCTCAGAATAAACCATATCTAAAGATGGATTAAAAGTAAACCCATGTTTATTGAGACTTGGTAAAATAACAAAATGTTAATCTATTTATTTATTCAGTTTGAAAAATGTTTGATGACCGACTAAGCAGATGAATTCAGCTCAAAGTAAAAGAAGTAACTATTGGAGGCTAATCTTTGATCCCATTGCAAAGAAGGACTGAAACCTTAAATTCGTATGTTGTCGGTGACTTTATTTTAAATAGACAAACGCCCTTTGTGTGTGTGTGTCTGTATCCTGCATCTGTGTTTGTTACTTTCCTGTGCGAGGTGTATCCCGAAGCGGACTATGGATCCTTTGGTCATAATCGCTGCACATTAATACGGGCCTCGCACACAGGACTCCGGACACAGGACATCGAGCAGAGCTTTAAGGCAAACACTGAGAGCAGAGCCGGGAACTGAGACGTGAGAGCTAAGGACTCAGGAGTGCTCAGAGCTGGGAAATTTCAACACAGAGAAAGTGCGAGAGATGCGAAAGAGAGAGAGAACAAGAATGAGAAAGAGAGAGACAGAGAGAGCAGAGAAAGTGCGTGAGAGCGAATAATGGAGCGTTCCAATTTTATGGATAAAGGACGAGATGTGGCAAGCAGAAGAAGAAGCAGAGCGGCCAAACCAATAACCATTTTCCTCTGCAACAGCAACAATAACAACACCAACACAAACACCAACACAAACACCAACAATAACAACAGAGGGAATACTTAAAGCTTCTTTAATTTTTATGTTGTTTTCTCCTCTCTCTCTCTCACTCTCTTCTTGAGTGTGTGTCTGTATCCCTCTATCTATGTGTTTGCCTCAGCCATTCTCTTTGATTGCTTTCGCGCATATCTGTGTGTGTGTGTGCGTGTGCGTGTGCCTGTGCGATGGGGTAACCTTTGCTGGGCAACATCCTTGCGTGGGAAGTTGCCCAAGGACATGGCCTGGCTCAACTCAACTTGACTCAACTCGCCGGACTAGCCAGCAGCCTCCCGCTTTTCCTTCAGCCTTGTTTCCGCTCCTCCCCCGTTCTCCACATTTTATTTCATTTTTCGCATAGTTGCTCTTTTGCTGCTAAGTTATTTATTCATTATTTGTTGCTTTGCTAAAGTTGTTTTAGCTCTGAAAATACAAAGCGCCTGCCAACAGTTGGGCCGCAAACCTTGATAAACTAGTTGGTGTAGAAGGAAAACTACCCGAAAAACTATAATAAATGAATTTTTAAAAATAGCTACCTCAAGTACTTCTCGCTGATGGCTTTTCCCATAGTTTTTAGTCAACCATTTCATGGGTCGTTCGCTGCCAGGATTAAAAGGCTGTGACACAATAACGCGACTGAAGGCGGGGGATCGGAAGTCGGAACTCAAGCCACTGGAGATGCTTTTTGTTTAATTTTGCCGAAACTGAGCTTGGGAAATGTGCATGTAGTAAACCATAACAGTCCTAATTTCAAGAATCTGGACATATAATCTTATAAACCCTCTAAAAATCAGCAAGAAGTTTTCTTGTGCCTTAAGTTTTTTATCTAAAATGTGTTGCTTTTACATATATTTTCTTTGGTTTAAAATGGTCTGAATAACTCTTCTTGATCAGCATTACAAGATGCGAGATCTAGTCTTAGATCTTGAGATACATGTATGCATATAAAGTTTTATCGTACAATTTAAGTTAAAAGTAACAAAAATTATGTAAAATCGGATTATAATCATAGGACTTATTAGACAATAAATATTTACTTCTACAACCAAATTTGTTTTGACAGCATCATTGGGTGTTGCTCAACATGTTCCTAGCAACATTTTTGTTTCGTTAAATGTTGCGAATCATCTTCCTAGCAACATTTATCTTCCTTTGTTAGCATTATGTACTGCCTTTCGCCCTGTTTAATTGAACTTATTCATACATTTACAAATACTTTGGCAAAGTAAATTAGCCATGTTAATTTTAATTTCATTCACTATGTTTGGGTGTAATTTAATTGTAGGTTTAGTAAGTGTTTTAGCGTTATTAACTCGTGAACCTTTGACAATAAATACATATTAATTATCTTTGAGGTAGAAAACATTTAAATAAAATAAAGGATGTAAGGTTTCTAAAGGAGTAAGACAAATTAAGTGATATTTACATTAATGATCATTCTGAAATTATATTTAACGTTTAAAAAACAGTGTTAGGCCATACATTATTATTATTTATTAAAATAATTCCAGCTTTCTATAGTTTTTTAAAAGAAGGCACAGAAATGTGTATATTTTTTGTAATACTTCAACTGACCGGGACAACAAGGATTACTACCTTATTCGATTTTCTTCTTATTTTTTCCCTGCGATATCGTTATATTTAAAATTATTTTCTTACTTTATTTCCTTGGCCCTTTTGTGATTTCACTTAAACCAGTTAAGATACTGCAGAGTGCAACATTTGGATCTGCTTGGGATGGAACACTAAGAATCGGTTTTATGTTTGCCACTTTCGATTTTTTTATGGACAGTGGCACGCAGAAATAAAGTAGATTCAACAAGCCGGAGGAGCCCTCACTCTGCTCCCAGCTCCCAGCTCCTCCAAGCGGGCGGTCTGCAAATTATTCAGTGTGTACTTGTTGATGCAGCTCTCGAATAGCACTTTGCCCCCAAAATCCCAGCCCCTTGTCGCTCTGCAGCTTCTGCAATAATGCATTGTCGGAAAGTAGGTCGCTGCAGGTTAGCTCGGATGCAGTTGTTGCAGAGCCCGTGCACCGTGCATCGTGCCTCTGCCTCTGCTGCACGGGAAAAACGCAGGCAGCTGCCATCAAATATTAACCACTAGTTGATCCTGTGCAATTTATGTGTACAGATGTATGCCACGCCCACCTAATTGGGCGGGGGAGGAGTGAAAAGTGTGCGAAGCTCGGCTGAATTTTAGGACTACACGTAGCAACCTTATGCTGAAAGGGTCCTTGGGGGAGTGGGGGACTGGGAAGGACTTCCGAGGGAGCTCCGAGGGATGCGGGACGTGGGCGTGGCGAATGCAACTCCAGCTCGCCACTTTTGCCGTCACGCCCAGTTTAACGGCAGCAACAACACTGCTGACCTATTTTTCTCAATGGAACGCAGACTTTGAAATTATTTACAGCCCCAAAGAGCTAGAGAGAGAGAGAGAGAGGGAAAGAGAGGGACAGCCAGTGCGGTGCAGAGAAAGAGAGGGTGTTAAAGCCGCCGAAAGAGAGGGATGTATGTTAGCAGTGCGTGCCATATGTGCAATAATCACGAAACGCAGCTTTTCAGCTGCCTCGTCATTTTGCAAGCCCTGCTCCCAGCCCAGCTTAATTGTCGAATAGATATGGCAATCCATTCGGTGACACAATCAATACCAATATCTATAGTTGTCAAATTGTACGAAAATCTATTGTTTGTTATAGTGCAATGTTTATGCGAAGCATAGTTCATGAATTTAGTTCCTAAACTTTTCATTCAGCCAACACAATGAAGTTGAATATTCTCGTGTTTATGTGAGGTTTAATTGTGAGCTACAACTTCAAACGGAAGTTGATTATTACTGTATGTATCATGTGAGATTTAATTGAGGAATAAAGCTGGAAATTCATCTTTAGTGGTAAAACTGAACGAAAATCTATTGATTTATGTACGTCTATAGCAGAGTTCATGAATTTACTTCACGAACTTGGAAAATAATATGTGTGCATAAATAGATTTCATGTAATCCCTAATACATTTCTTGTTTCAATTTTGAAAACAGATGTTAATTCATACGGCGATACAGTCAGTAGTGTCTGTACGAAGCATAACTCATAAATTGAGCTCTCAAATTGGTCAGAAAGTAAAGGCATAAACAGTAATTTTTGCAAGGTTTAATTTCTAAACAGAAATTGCATTTCGTTTGCAAACAGCATAAAAACTATAAATAGTTGTCCAATGATACTTAATTCTTTAGTGACATATAACATATCATAAATATGAGAAGCCTAATTCATGAATTTACTTCAGGATTTGAGAAAACATAAACACAATTATATGTATTCGAGAACCTATGGAAAATGTCTATTACTGCATTTAAGATGGGTTTAATTGACGGAAAGAGATGGCAATTCATTTGGAGTCACAGTTAATACTATGGCTACTTGTCAAAATATACGAAAATCTATAACCACATATACTATGTTTATACGAAGCATACTTCATGAATTTATTTCATAAATTGGAACCCATACCTAGGATCTAACAAGCATTTTGTAAATTGGCAAACATACAAAAGTGAAGACAATACATAAAATTGTTTTTTTTTACCAATTTTTCTCTGCTTAAATAAATAATTTAACTAATTTGGAAAGCCATATATACTTATATGCAACGAAATAATACGGCTCTTACCTTATAATCTTCAAATTCTTTGAAATTCCTATCAATATAAATGCTTGGAGCTCAATTTTCTGCAATTTTGATATCACGTATTCAAGAACTCACGAAACTCATGGAAGGCATTGTCAA